GCGACGCATCTATAGACTACAATTCTTTACATGGTGTAAATAAAGCTCCCGTCGCAGGTTCTGTTCCTCGTTGCTATTCGCTGACAGATTGCTTCTGGCCCTCTTTGGTGTTGAAACAAGTCCACACTGCTCCCAAGGTCAGATGGGAGGCGTCCAGAGAGGGCAAATTTGCAAAAGGAGCAGGTAAGACTTGCTGCCGCAAAGGTCAGTAAGGATGACACAATGGCAGCCACCACATGGTGGGTTACATCGCAAATGCGATTTTGTAGTTATTTATACCACTCCAGTGGGTCCCCCCGTGCAGAGCAACTCCCTCATCATATTCGGAGACACACCTGTATAACCTACTGGCTTCCAACCTCAGCAACAATCTGGACTCCAAAAAAAAAAACAGAAAAAAAAACAAAACTCTGCAGGCACTGTACAACATGTTGTCCCATGGTGGAGAACAACCGAGAGCACATTTGAAAAACGTCCTTCGGGACATCCGTTAAAATTGGAACGATACAGAGAAGATCAGCAAAAAATAATAAAATAATATTAAAAATAATATTTTAAAAAATAATAATAGAAATTGAAAAAATTGAAAAATAAAAAAAAACAGATATATGAGAAATGAAAGCCGAAATGAAAGATGGAAGGCAAGAAGAGCAGAAAAGCACAACGTGGGTTTAATTAACTTTAATATGCTCTTTTTTTTTCATTTCTCTTCTCGTATAATTAAAGAATCGGATATATCAGTTTATAAATTCATATGAATTTATGAAATTATATCTACATGAGATGCATTTTCATTTTCACCCCAAAATCCACTCCTCCACTGTGTAGCACACTAGGACAGGGGATACATGGCACTGAACAATGCTCCTACAGGGAACCTGAACAGACGACATGACCAAGAACAACAAGCGAAGACAGCGCATCAGTACCATGAATAGAGCTACAAAACTGGTGGCGGCCAATCTGGTCTGTAGTTGCAACTTGGGTTAAAAAAAAACAGGAAAAAAGACCCCCAACTCGGGTCAAAAAGAAAGGACAAAAAGAACGGCCCCCCCAAGCCGGGTCAAAAAAAAAAAGAAAAAAAAGACCCCCAACTTGGGTTTAAAAAAAAAGGGAAGAAAAAAGGACCCACAATTTGGGTCAGAAAAGAGTTTTAAAATGTAAAGGATGAGAAATCCCCGTTCCCCTCATGAATTCTGCAATTTCTGCCTGATGATAGCAAAATGCTACAACGTGCCATTTCAATTTGTACACGTGCACTTGCTTCCATGCCATGCTCCTACCTACCTTTCAAAAGAAGCTTCATATCGGGCATCGCCACACCACTCCCAAAATGTGCAAAATGAGAATGAACTTCCCGCTGCTGCTGCTGCTGCTGCTGATGATGATGATGAATCGATGATGATGACGATTCATGAACAGCGCTGCTGTTCCGGCCATACAACATTTGTATAGCGGTGTAAGTCGTATAACACACCAGGAAAATCAGAAGACGAAAAAAATGCCGAAATTTGAAATTTCAAAATTTTCAAAAAAAAATCTGAAAATGTCGACGGAAAAGAACAAGATGTCAGTAGTTGGTGACACCTGTCTCGGCCACCTGCCACCTGAAAATGGAAAAGCCAGCAATAATATTTTACAGAAGTTGTCTGCGCAATGCTCATTTCCGGCAAAAAAAATGAGCAAGTTGAGCGTACCTTATTACTCAGTCCGGCGGAGTCCCATACGCACTCAGTCCCACGACGGCGAGATCGGCATTGCCAGTCAAATGTTACAACCTCGTGGGGATGGCTGGCGGTGCGCCCACAATCCCCTTCTCTTCCCTGATGCTACACCAAACTCACGTTAGCATGCTCTTCTGGTGATTGCTTGCTTGCTTGCTTAAGGACAACTTTTCCTGGGAACATTGGCATCACTCACTCACTCAGAAGACCTCACCGAATAGCTTTCTCCTCCCTGATGCTGCAGGAAACTGGCGTTCGATTGCTATCTCCACCGTGAAAAAAAAAGTACTACGTCCCAACTCTCTCCAACCCGCATCTCTTCGCGCACGGCTCCCCCCTGAGAACTGCCAAGTGACCGAGCTTCTTGAAACCTGCCATGCTAAGCAAAGGCGTGCCATGCTAAGCAAAGGCGTGCGCCGACCCATTCACCTCGGATTTTCTTTTCATATCAAGAAGAAGAAGAAGAAATTTATCTTGATCCTTGACAGCTTCCAGGTTTACTCAAGAATTGGACTGCTTTCCTCTTCTCCTACCGTCTTCACCCGAATTGAACGCCCTGTCATTGAAGCCGTATCTGGACTGAAAATTGCACCAAATATATGGCTATAATGACCAGGTGTTCTATTCGGGTTAAGATGGTAGTGTTGCCATCACAGAAATTGACTTCCCTTCCACCTCACTGCTAATCCTTCCCAGTACCCGCCATCAGCTCCCCCCCACCACCTCCTTCGCTCCCCTCCCTCTCCTCCCCTCCTTCCCCTCCTTCCCTCCTTCCCTCCTCCCTTCATCTCCCTGCCATCCGCAATCTCCACACAGCTACAGACTCCTTCGCCCACCCTACATATATATTGTATCATATACCTTCATCTTATGGCACATCCCTAATCCCTGCAATTACTAGCCGCCAGCAGGCCAGCCAGTCTCTTCCACATCGACAAACCGCTTGTCTGGCCTTAGCATCCCAGGCGCTACAGCAACTTGCTCCCAGTCTCCACGCACCGAGGTGGCCTCGTCAGCCATTTCCTCTGTCTCGTGACAGACTGCATTGGCATTTCCTCCTCCTCATGCCAGATTGGTTGCTACCGTCTTCCCCCGAACATAACGCACCCTAAAAATGAATGCATACAAGCTATATTCCCGGCCAGATACAGCCAAAAGGAGGGTGCGTTGTGTTCGGGGGAAGACGGTAGTAGGCAGCATAGAGCTAATCCCTGCTGCAGTTGCTCCAAACCGCTTCATGGCGGCAAGCCTCTAAAAAATAGCTTACAAATAACTTTGTGTGATCACCATGCAGCAGCTGCCTCCTCTCAAGCCAAACACCCAGAACAGGCCTCCGCCAATTCTCTACCCATCTATCTACAAACTGGGCTACTAGGTCGGTTGGTACACCCACGTAACTGCTGAACTACAGATCTCAGTTTTTTTTTTTTTTTTTTTTTTCCTGTCTCAGTTCGAGTTCGGGATCCAGATGGAATCAGTGGAGCGCACAATAACTCTGAAATAACCTGGGGCTGGTGACCGCTGGTCAGCACGAAGATTATATCTCAAGGCCGTCGCCCTTTTAAAAATCCGAATCGACCAACTGGCAAGGTTCTGAAGACATCCGTCATCCGTCACACGCACGCTCCGTCCGAGCACCGCTCCGTCCGAGCACCGCTCTGTCCGAGCACCGCTCCGTCCTTTCCGGGCCCGCTCAGTCACTTCAGGGGCTTGAATAATCGAGTAGTACCTCCTCTCCTCTTTTTTTTGTTTTTGTTATTTCCCGGCTTACCAGGCCTCATTTTCGTTCCATGATGATATAGTGAAAGTAGAGGAAGTGAAGCAGAAATATGCTCATCGACGACGGCTGTGGTGAGATTGTCGATGGGAGAATCGCTCTATGCCTGAGGAGCCGCAGCCATTCCAGCATGAACGTCCATAAATCCACACCTCGTATACATCTCCACATTGCATCAGCCTGTTCCTCGGTGACCGGCACGGTGCGGCATCAGCCTGTTCCTCGGTGACCGGCACGGTGCGGCAGCATAACTGTGGTCGACAGTGTACAATACGAGCGCGAATGGGGTCCCTACTGGCAGCCAGCCATACACCACCGCATATCTGCAAATGGGCACCAATGCTGCCCAAACAAACGCATGTAAATGTTGCGCAAAACTGCAAATGCAATTGCTACTTGATATTCCACCCATGGAGCTTATTTATTGAATTCAATTGATGAATCACATTGCCCAGTCCTGCAAGTCATGAATCCCACCGTCCGCCAACTACTGTCTTCACCCGAATAACACGCACGGTCATTATCGCCGCATCTGGTCTGGAAGAAAGCCCCAAATACAGCCATAAGGACCGGGCGCTCTCTTCGGGTGAAGCAGGTAGCTTGACGACTGTTGAGAAACTGTCTTGCGAATGCCGTACGCAAAGTTGCAAACTGACTGTGTACAGAGTACGTCGATTTACACCCAGGCTGCGTCCATGGCGGCAATTCAGCCTGAACTCTCAGGCTGATACCGCATTTTTACCTGTCAACCGTAAACTTGAATTTAACTGTGGTAACTGTGTGGTTGGCAATTCAGCACGAACTCTCAGGCTGATACCGCATTTTCACCTGTCAANCCGCATTTTCACCTGTCAACCGTAAACTTGAATTTAACTGTGGTAACTGTGTGGTTGGCAATTCAGCACGAACTCTCAGGCTGATACCGCATTTTTACCTGTCAACCGTAAAGTTGAATTTAACTGTGGTAACTGTGTGGTCGGCAATTCAACATGAACTCTCAGGCTGATACCGCATTACCTGTCAATCGTAAACTTGAATTTAACTGTGGTTGTATGACTCCAATTCAACAATAGCAGTGTTGTGGTCATAAACTTATAAACTCTATTTTAACTGTGCCAGTGTGGCCGTAAACTCCTTTTTAACTCTCTATCAAGTTGTAAACTCCAATTTAACCATTACCACAAACTCCAATACCCCTGTAGCTATAGTTGGTGCCACTTTCGGTCTAGGAAAATATAGAGCCCTATTGCCAGCGCGTCCTATGCCGATTCTTGCGCTGGCCACAAAGCACAAACGTTACGCCCTGGTGCCTCTGCTACGATCAGGGACTCTACCTGGTGCCTCTGCTACGATCAGGGACTCTACCCCATTCAAAGGTTGATAAGGGACAACAATACGAAGCAGCATGAAACAGGCATGCCCACCACACCCATTCCCATTGCTAAGGCACCTCAGCGTTCCAGCAGCCCCCTTCCCATACTGCTCACATAAGCAAAAACACAGATTGCTGTGATTTACTGATTTGATGAGTTGCAGCAGTAAGCAGCCCCCTTCCTATGTCGCTCACATAAGCAAACACAGATCGCTGTGATTTGATGAGTTGCATCAGCATCAGCATCAGCAGCACTTAATGCCAGGGCTTTGCGTCACAAGAATGCCAGGGCTTTTTGTCACAAGGACGCGGTAAGATATGGCAGAGAGTCGGGAGATGAACGTGCAACATCTCATCATATGTCCCCTTGTAACACCGCAAAAGACAGTTCAAGAAGCAGGAGACTTCTTTTTTTTTTTTTTTTTTTTTTCTAAGGCTAACTTCAAACATTTTCATGATTTCGTCATATATCGTCGCCAACGACTCGCCACAGCAAAAAACATTCAGGGAAGATCATTACCAGCCCAACGATGTCACAAATTTGAGTTCAAACTTCAAAGTGCGAGTTTCCTTTCGCCCATTGCAAGAGTTGCAGGGTGTCAAGTTTTTTCAACTTTTTTCCTGATTCCCACACATACCAACAACAGCCACAGACAATGCAAACGCTCGTTGTCAGTTTTTGACGCCTCATGGCCACGTAAGGCACTCGTATTAGATTTAACCAACCAGTGCAAGTTTGACGGCCCCATGGCCGGATACGAAAACGATTACATTTAAGTTTTAACCTGCCAGTGTTTCTCCCTTAGTTCTATGACAGTTGCTTCATTACTTGTGTGGCAGTTGCTTCACCAGCTTCCATAGACAGGCCCGAGTCCCGAGTCCTGAGTCCTGACGTATTATTACTGTGGAATTACCTGCATAATTGCAGTCTGAAAAGTCTACACGTTTTTCTGAGTCCTGAGTCCTGACCTATTATTACTGTGCAATTACCTGCATAAGTGCAGTCTGAAAAGTCTACACGGTTTTCTGAGTCCCGAGTCCTGACCTATTATTACTGTGCAATACCTGCATAATTGCAGCCTGAAAAGTCTACACGTTTTTCTGAGTAGTGCTGTTTTTTTTTTATCACTTCTTTTTATTAAAAAAAAACACATGCATGCAAGGAATATGAGTGAGAACGATATACAGAAAGCCAAGTTGCGAAATCACACAGATGTCCAAGTAGTCGTGTACACGCAGAGAGCACAAATGCACCGAGATTCCATCCAAATAAGAGCAATACAATGAAGTGATGAGCCGATGTTCAAGCCCTCAGCCCACACCAACACAGTATCCAAAGTCCTCAGCCCTATCCTACTCTCTCTCTCTCTCTCTCTCTCTCTCTCTCTCTCTCTCTCTCTCTCTCTATCTATCTATCTATCTATCTATCTATCTATCTATCTATCTATCTATCTCTCCCTGTCTCTCTCTCTCTCTCTCTCTGAGGTATTTGCAGCAGCACAAATTCAGTGATAGGCATTGAGGAGTTCATTACTTCCAAAATGACGTCTGAACACACAAAAATAGGACAGCGAATAAATAAATAAATAAATGTTGTNNTGTGTGTGTGTGTGTGTGTGTGTGTGTGTGTGTGTGTGTGCATGTGTGTGCGTGTGTGTGCGTGTGTGTGTGTGTGTATGTGTGTTAGGTGGACATGGGGACGCTATGTGGACTAACTCCAGGAACCCCCCCTTCGCCAACCAAAAAATGAAAGAGGACCCCAGAACCCGCCCTCAAAAGAGAGAACCTGTAGGTAACACACACAAAGACACGACTGTCATAAAGCACAAAAAAAAGGGCACACAGCCACATCGATACGTGGTAGCATGTGGGTGGGTGGTATTATGTGGCCTGGATGATAGTATTGGGTTAGGTTGGTACCATGTGGAGTGGGTGGTCTAGACAATGTGGGGTCTGTGATATAATGCGGGCCGAATGGTAGTATGTTGCCTTCGCAGTACAATGTGGGGGAGGGGTGATGCTGTGGGCTGGGCTGTGGCCTGTGGGAACGCACCACCCTCTCCCCCCCCCACAAAAAAAAAAAAAAACGAGAACCAAAGAGGACTTGGCCCTGAATGTGAAACCCCAATGGAGGGGCGATGCTGTGGGCTGGGCTGTGGGCTGTGGGAACGCACCACTCTCTCCCCCCCAAAAAAAAATAAAAAATAAAACCAGAATCAAAGAGGACTTGGCCCTGAATGTGAAACCCCAATGTACTTCAGATGTGTGCTTCCATGTGTACTCGCATTTTTTATCATTTATGATTTTTCTCTTTTTCCTTATAACAACGGGAGTAGTCCCTAGCATTATCATAGTCATCCTTTATTCCATCGCAATTCAAACTCATGACCTGTTTATTAACTTTACTACCAATTACATTGCAGTTTTTAATTCCAAAGCAGTTTTAACTTTTAAATCCAAAGCAGTTTTCAATTCCAAAGCAGTTTTTCAATTCCAAGCGTACTTATTCCCTTTTTTTGGAAAACACCTGATGATATTGGCGGACAGACAAACAGCCAGATAAGGCAGACAGCTGAAGGCGGACAACGTCAGTCGCTCGGATTCCCTTACCTTGTATCATGCCCCGGCCCCAAGGGCGGCCTCCTGCCTTCTTTCCTTCTGTGGAATAACAACGTGGTTGCTATCACAACCATCACGCTTCAGTAAACCTTCTTGCAAATCTTGCAAATCATCACGAGTGGCACCATCTCCAGCTCCATCAATCCGCAAACATTTGCTCCATCCCCGCATCCTGCAAGAACATCATTATTTTTCCACTTCTCAATCAATTGACCAAAACACCTGCGCGGCCATCTCTACCACTGCAGGGCACACAAAGTGTACAATCAACAACAATGACCCACACAAGAAGACTAAGTGATCCGAGGGGCTATCTAACATGTTCAAGAGACATACGTCACGTAAGCCAGTCTCTGCGAATGCCGTCTTAGCCGATGCATTTTGTCACACAATCAAGTCCTTCAGAAAAAGGTGCGACACATCAACTGGGCTGTGCCTTGTCCTGGCAAGAGGTGCGGTGAAACTGTTGTTTAGCGACACACATTTCAACGCAATCGATTTGGGATGGCGCGGGTCGATAGAGTGTGCACTTTCCGTTTGGTCTTTGAAGTTTGCGGTCCCCTTCCCGCAGGGCAATATCCATTCATTATTCCTCCACCTCCCAAGGATCACAATCACAACCATCCCTAGCCTTTCAGTAGCCTTTCAGGCGAAAAAGTTCCCTATTTGAGCTTAGAACCAACTTGGCCCAACTTTCCATCAGCCCATCTGTCAGCGGCCAGCTGAATTCAGTTCGTATAACTTTTTAATACTTTTTTTAAGTTTTTGTGACTTTTGCGACATCAGTTTCGCCACCCTGCATCGCAATACAATGAATACATCGATCAGTGCCCTGCTGAACCACCTATCAAACGCATACGACTCTGTATATTCTACTTGCGTCGCGGTTCCAGTCTTAAACCGCAAGTACATGGTCCCAGCCTTGCACAAAGTTTTTGTCGCCACAAGCAAAACTCAGAGGGGCCGCACGGCGTGGGCCGCCGTTGAAAAAAAAAATCGGTGGCCTCTGAAGTGGTGCGGGTTTCGTGCTGACACCCGCGGGGCGATGTGTGGTGTACTGGTGCTTTAAAGCAAGTGAGTGACTGAGTGAGGGACGCTTCCAGGCTGAAGGAAAACACTCTTGCGATCGCCAAGAAGTGTCATAGGATCATGTATACAGACAATTTATTTTTGTAATTATTTTGCCAAGTTATGGAATATAATTCCTGATTTACTGTGGTATTACTGTGCTTCATGAAATTCGTTTTCACCTCAGGCGACAAGCCACGTCCGTTCCTTCGCATGCTTCCTTTCCTCCTTTTGATTGCCCATACCACAGCCCAAACTTAAAACTTAAATGAAGTTAAATCTCAATTTACATACCATAACATAGAGCAGGCCTCCTTTTTTTATATATATATATTTTTTTATTTTAACATAGAGCAGGCCTACCGCCATTACTGGCCGTTTTTTCTCTGACCTGTTTTATTCTGCTGCATGGTCTGCAGCAGGCAGTCTGCCACCATCTTCACCAGAACAGAACGCCCGGTCATTATCGCTGCATCTGGACCGAAAGTTGTGCCAAATACAGCTATAACGACCGGGCATTCTATTCGGGTGAAGACGGTAGGATTTCAGGGCCAGCTTGAGTGAAGCCTCAACTGTGATTCATTACAGCTATGCCTAATTTGTGGGAGTGGTATGTGACATTTGTGCAATGTGCATGTGTGTGCTCAAGCACAGTGCATGTGTGTGCTCAAGCACATCAATCAATGTGTCATGGATAGATAATAGATATCCTGACTGAACCTCTTGATGTGTTGGCGGACGACTGATGACAATTATACTGTTTGTGACAGCCATGCCTTCCTTTTCAAAGAGAGAGTTGTGCTTGGCACGTGCACAGGCACACAATATCAAGAACATGACTTTCAGCGAGGAGACCATGGCTGTTCATTTGCGTTCAAAACTGCAGCGAAAAAAACATGATTTCACCACGTCGTAGATGTCACATGCACATTAATAAGTAGACAAGCATGCATACGAATACCATCTCTGTTACTAAAACCACTACCATCTTCATCCAAATAGAACATATGCTGTGCCATCATTATTGCTCAATCTAGACGGAAATTTGCCCAAAGTACAGCTGTAATGACCATATAATGGCATATATTCCTTTCTTTTTTTTTTTGGGTGGGGGGGAGGGGGGGGAGACAGTAGTTAGCATAATCACTGGGTTGGGGTTGAATGATGGCCCCGCTTAGGCGATTGTCACTGAGTAAGGGTTATTGCATCAACTTTCGTCGCGTTCACCCTTTCCATAGCCTGCTTTTCAAACAGAGACGTCTCTCAGACTTCTCTTACCCTACGACTATCTGTTTCGACGGTTCGGATTCCGATCCTTAGTACCCTACGAATATCTGTTTCAACGGTTCAGATTCAGATCCTAACGAACTGCCCCTCAGATGAGAACGTTCCGTATGTGAAAGAGCAAGAATGTTTCACAGAAAGGGGGTGTTCCTTAGGGAAAACAAAACATTCATGTCCCAGTGTGTCGAGGGTTCCACAGTTTGTTTGTTTTTTTCCTTCCCTACAAAACATTCATGTCCCAGTGTGTCGAGGGTTCCACAGTTTGTTTGTTTTTTTCCTTCCCTGAAGCGATATTCCTCCCTCGAATCCACTTTTCACTACCTACCTACCTACCACCACTCCTGAGGCTATACAGGGGACACCTGCAAGCATAGTTACTTCTCACAGTGCAGTGGATATTGCATGTTGCCCCTTGGTGCAGGGTTGGGGCCCACTGCTGGGGGTCCGACCAACACAAAGACCGAGCATTTTGGCAGTAGCTGTGCCTCCCTTTCCATCTTCCCTCAACCCCATTGAGTAACAGCAGTGTCTAAGGCCCCAACACTTCCCACACACCACACACACAACCCATGCATACACGCATGCACGCCCCATCTTGGCTAAAGACCCTACTATTACCGCCCAGGGTGAGCAAACTGACTATCTCAGCTGGTTGGCACCAAGCATGCCTGAGGCGGTCAGTAGGGATTGAACTCACGACCTTCTGAATGCCCCTTGCATGCCTGACCAACTGAGCTAGGCCGCTCGCTTGAGGTCCTTCGGCAGTTTTCCATTTTCTTTTCCCGGCTCCAGAAGCATTTAACAGTACCACGAACTGTTAAAATAGAGACCTGAGTTTGAACGCAGATGGAACGAGATAAAAAACATGGACTCACAGTATGTCAAACCCTGGTAAGGTTCTTCGCGTTGCATCGAATTAAACCACATGCTCCACCGCTTGTGCGGGCCCCCCTTTTACTCGCAACAGACCTGAGTTTGAACGCAGATGGGACGAGATAAAAAACATTCTTAATTACCTGGGGGCTGTCAGGCCAACCATGATGAGACCACCTACCTTGCAACGGTGCTGCATGTTCTGTTCACTACACGGTGGGCATTGTCTGGTCCTGATCCGAGGATCACCATGAATAAGAGATACACAGCAGCAAAGGTGAAGAGACCCGCATAACCGGCAATCGAGTAGCTGCCGAGCTTATCAGAAATAAACACAACCAGCAGGTAGCCGTTGGTCGAGACGATGACCACAGAGATAACCCAAGCCAGAACCTGTTGAAACAAAGGAAGGCAAACATGCATGTGCCACTGGTCAGTCCTGCAGTTATCAACAATGGAGGAGAAGAGGGGAATAATTTTACCTAAAAATAGGGCCTACGATACTTATCATAGCGGTCAAAGGTAGGTTGTTTACGAAAAGAGACGAACGGATCATCCTGCTTCCCAATTTTTTTATATTTTTTTAATATTATTATTATTTTATTTAATAATTTTATTGTTATTTTGGAGAAGTTTTTGTCACTTATCATTTAGAGGAAGGAGAAGTCGTAACAAGGTTTACGTAGGAGATCGGACCCATTGTTATTTTAAAAAGAAAAAATAATTTCAAAAAGGACGACAATGAAGATATCTTCCTCCCATATCACAAAAAGAATCCATATACGAAAAAGAAAAGGGACTCCATGAAGGCAGCTGATGGACACGCGCTCCTGTTAGGCCGGAGAGCATATGCAGCTGACCAGTTTTAACTTGGTTGCCTGGGAATTCACCCAACTTCCAGGGAAAAGAAAGAGTAGAATAGCAGAGAAGACTAGCATGGCCCCTGCGCAAGGGTGACATGCACAAATGCACAAATCGAAAGCGGGGGCGGGCGGGGGGAGGCGGGGGGGGGACAAACTAAATTAGTGGCCTTATGCACACAGGTCCTCTTACAAGGAGCAACACTTTAGAATCCAAGCCGATTAACACAAAGAAATGTCACCTACATAGGGGTCACTTTAACACAGGGTTTTCTGTTTGGCAAAGCACGGGTCATATCCATATGGTCAACACACAGTTCAGGGGTTTCTTCTGCCTTTGGCACAAGACCCTTGCAGTCAAAGGCCTCTCGCCAAAAGGCTCGTGACCCTAAAGTTCAAATTTCCACAAACTTCCGCCTCTTCAACTACAGGAGGCAACTTATTAGGCAAGGTTAAAAAGCCCATTTGGGAGGCTCTTGTGGCATACTCGGTTCCACACGGGCCCCGCAGGGCCCGCCAGTAGGGTTAGGGGTTTCATAGGGTTTAGGGTATGTGCCATTTCGGCCGAGTTAGGCCCCGTAGGACCCAGTAGGCCACCGAGTCGTTTTGGCAAACTTTTCACCAAGTTCCTACTTTTGGCATCTTTCGCCAGACTCCTGCTTTTCGGCGCCATACCGTTTCGTATGTTCGCCACGTTCCTACTTTGGCAGCTTTTCGCCAGATTCCTGCTTTCGGGCACCAAACCTTTTTGTAATTTCGCCACGTTCCTACTTCTGGCGCCAGACCAGATTTCCTTTCGCCAGACTGTTTCCTCTCGGCCCAGGACACTCGGCCCAGCGTTATATATAGCTGGGCCAGTCTGATTCTAGGCAGGTAGTGCTACGTGCTTCTCAGACGTAGCTCTGAGGTAGTAGGGAGTAGTCTTCAGTGGTCGACGCGCTGGGAGCAGTTAGTAGTCTACAGCACTGGCTGCGAGCTAAGAGTGGGAGCCCTGCCGCTGCACTGCAGCGAGAGAGAGTGAGAGATGGGCGGAGGCCAGGAGGACGTACCTAGGCCGAAGGATAATTTGATTATTAACACAAATATTTTTATGACTTATGAGCTGTCACCATGGATCCAGCTTCGTCTTCGGGACACCTTTCTGCAGGTTAGTACCTGGCACACATGCAGTGAGAGAGAGAGAGATTGCTTCTTCTTCTTCTTTCCCTCTGTCTGATCTCCATCGCCCCTCCTCTTCCTCCGGGACTTCTTCTGCTGCTGCTTCTGCTGAGATACACGCGCGCGCGCGCGCGCGAGAGAGAGAGAGAGAGAGAGAGAGAGAGAGACAGACTGACAGACAGACAGACAGACAGACAGACAGACAGACACACAGACAGACACACAGAGACACACACACACAGAGAG